GTCGGCCACGGCTACTTCAAGGACCTGCGGCGGCTGGGCCGGGCCCTGGACAGGACGGTGCTGGTGGACAACTCTCCGCTGTGCCCTCGGCGGCCGTCGCCGGTCCGCCCCTGTCGCTCTTGCTGCTGCTGCTGCTGGTTCTCCTCCTCGCCCCCGTCCTCCTCCTCCTGAGTAGGCGAGAGAGATGACCCTGACACCCTCGCGTTGTGAGGGAGCCACGACGGACGGAGAGTCACGACGGAGGGCATTCGTCAACTTTCCGCCTCCGGTGGCCCTCGCCAGGCCCTGGGACCGCAGAAAACGATGCGGGATGAAAAACAGGTCCCATCGGGTTCGGGCTTCTGGGCAGCCGCGTTGCGACCAAATTTATGACGGAGGGTGTCTGGGGAGGAGGAGCAAGACATGTTAGGTGCGTTCGCGTCATATCTGACGTCCTACAGTACTACCCCTCTTTCTCATCCCTTACCATGGAGTAGATATCTTCTCTATTGACACAGTTGGATGTCGTATCATGGCATAGCATTACATGGCATAGCATGGTTTGAATATCAACGCGTAGCATGACATAGCATGGCGTGGCGACGCCCCAAAGTGGGGGGGGGCCTCTGCGGCCCAAGCAATCAACGAATCGGCACCGAATGTGTAATCACTTCCGATGGTTCTTTCGGGGGGCATTTTTTGATTTCGGGGCGTATTTGGAAGGTCCGAAAACCATGCCGTGGCATGGCACTGGAAATACAGACGCCAGTGCTGCAGCGGGAGCACGATTCGGATCGAGCGGAAGCGCGGGAATAAGGCTACCGCTGCAGCGGGGGCACGATTCGAAACGAGCGGAAGCGCGGACATGAGACCAGCGCTGCAGCGGGAGCATGATTCGGAACGAGCGGAAGTTCGGAAATGAGGCCAGCGCATCAGCGGGAGCAACATTTTTGAAAAAATAGCCCAAGCGAAAACCCAACTGCCGGGAATCCTGTGTGTAATTATCCTGGCGAGCGTCCCAACCATATGCAGTTGTGGATACCGTAATTGTTAATATCTGCTTCGGTGAAGCTCCCTATGGGGCCACGAAGCGCTGCACTGGGCGGGGGGGAACGCTGTACTGTGTGCGTGGTGTGCCGAATTGGGTTTCCGGGACGCATGCGGACGGTCCCACTGAGGGCTTCGGTGGAGCTCCCTATGGGGCCACGAAGCGCTCTACTGAGTGAGTGAAAATGCAAAGTTGGGTTTCCGGGACGCATGCGGACGGTCCCACTGGGGGCTTCGGTGGAGCCCCATATGGGGCCACGAAACGCTGCACTGCGCGGGTGAAAATGCCAAATTACATTTCCCGGACGCATACGGACGGTGGCACTGGGGCCTTGGGTGGAGCCCCCTATGGGGCCACGAAACGCTGCAGAGGGTGGGTGAAAATGCCAAATTGGGCTCCTGGACGCATGCGGACGGGGGCACTGGGGCCTTCGGTGGAGCTCCCTATGGGGCCACGAAACGCTGCACTGGGTGTGCGGGACGCATGCGGACGGTAGCGCTGGGACCTTCGGTGGGGCTCCCTATGGGGCCACGAAACGCTGTACTGGGCGTGCGGGACGCATGTGGACGGTACCACTGGGACCTTCGGTGGGGCTCCCTATGGGGCCACGAAACGCTGTACTGGATGGGTGAAACGCGGGGAGGAGGGGGAGGAGGGCCACGAAACGCTGTACTGGGTGTGCGGGACGCATGCGGACGGTAGCGCTGGGACCTTCGGTGGAGCTCCCTATGGGGCCACGAAACGCTGTACTGGGCGTGCGGGACGCATACGGACGGTAGCATTAGGACCTTCGGTGGGGCTCCCTATGGGGCCACGAAACGTTGTACTGGGTGGTTGAATTGCAGGGAGCACGAAACGCTGTACTGGGTGTGCGGGACGCATGCGGACGGTAGCGCTGGGACCTTCGGTGGAGCTCCCTATGGGGCCACGAAACGGTGTACTGGGCGTGCGGGACGCATGCGGACGGTAGCATTTGGACCTTCGGTGGGGCTCCCTATGGGGCCACGAAGCGTTGTACTGGGTGGTTGAAACGCAGGGAGCACGAAACGCTGTACTGGGTGTGCGGGACGCATGCGGACGGTAGCACTGGGACCTTCGGTGGAGCTCCCTATGGGGCCGCGAAGCGCTGTACTGGGTATGCGGGACGCATGCGGACAGTAGCACTGGGACCTTCGGTGAGGCTCCCTATGGGGCCACGAAGCGTTGTACTGGGTGGGTGAACCGCAGGGAGGAGGGGGAGAAGGGCCACGAAACGCTATACTGGGGTTTGCGGGACGCATGCGGACGGTAGCACTGGGACCTTCGGCGGAGCTCCGTATGGAACCACGAAGCGCTGTACTGGGTGTGCGGGACGCATACGGACGGTAGCTCTGGGACCTTCGGTGGGGCTCCCTATGGGGCCACGAAGCGCTGTAGTGGGTGGGTGAAACGCGGGGAGGAGGGGGAGGAGGGCCACGAAACGCTGTACTGGGCGTGCGGGACGCATGCGGACGGTAGCGCTGGGACCTTCGGTGGAGCTCCCTATGGGGCCACGAAACGCTGTACTGGGTGTGCGGGACGCATGCGGACGGTGGGGAGGAGGAGGAGGAGGAGGAGGAGGAGGAGGAGGAGGAGGAGGAGGAGGAGGAGGGAAAGGAGGAGGACCGCGGGGCGACGTCTCTTCAAAACGAGGACCCAACACCACAGGATGGTTCGGAAAAACAGGGCGCAGAAGGGGGGCCGGGCATCTGCCGGACGTCATCCGGGGAGAGAGGAGAGTAGTATCCTCCATGTCGTGTAAGTGTGGAGGAGGAGGAGGGAGGGAGGAGGAGGCCGCGGCGGAGGAGGAGGAGGCGGATGTGGAGAGGTTTGAAGAGGCGGAGGTCGATGAGGCGGCAGAACATGCGTCGCTGGTGCGGCGCAATCGTCCGACCCCACTTAGTCGGATCTAATGTGGTAGGCCTCTAGAGAGGCGAAGTGCCCTGAGATCCGACGTTGTGAAAAACATGCAGCATCGTCATAAGTCACTTCTGGAGCCCCAGACCAAATTTTTCTGCTGCATTCTTCAGGCCAGACCGATCTGCGATGGCCCTCGGGCCCGAAAACCGGGCGAAACAGCTCGGAGTGCAGAATGGCAACGCCCAGATTTCGGGGTACATCTGAAATCGAGAATACGGAAGCAACACGTCAGCAGGGGTACCCTTGAATCCTTGTCAATCCGTGGCCATTCTCCACGTCCTGGGACGTCCGATCTGGAAGGTCCAATGGCCTCGCATCTTTACCTTGCGTGCTTACCATCGGTTTTGACTGCAGGATTGGCGCGCCCCGCGGCCTTCCCCGGCGGCTGCGGATCTCTCGCGCCGTGCCCCGACCACGGCATCGTCGTGTCCAACTGGACGGCCGACGACGAGGAGCGCGGCGGGAGGTCTCCATCGTCGCTGCGGCCGCTTACCGCCGTCGCCGCCGCCGCCGTCCTCGTCCTCGTCCTCGTCCTCGTCCTCGTCGTCGTCGTCGTCGTCGTCATCGTCCTCGTCGTCGTCGTCGTCGTCCTCGTCCTCGTCGTCGTCGTCGTCGTCGTCCTCGTCCTCGTCGTCGTCGTCGTCGACGTTGTCGTCGTCGAAGCACTTCCAGGAGCCTTGTTATCCAGGACCCGTTTTCCTCATGCTAAACTGCGCAGCACTTCGACGCTTGTGTGCAAATCCGCAGGCTTCGCACCTCCGCAGCCCTGCCGCTCCGGAGCCTGCTCTGCGAAGGCCTCAAGGGGCAGGGGGCGGCGTTCACCCGGCGACCTGGACCTGGAGCTTGAGGAGGGGGGAGGAGGGGGGGATGGGGGAGGAGGAGGAGGAGGAGGAGGAGGAGGGGGGGAGGAGGAGGAGGAGGAGGAGGAGGAGGAGGAGGAGGAGGAGGAGGAGGAGGAGGAGGAGGACCGTGTAAAAATCCTGAAGCGTGCCCAAACACCATTCTCATGACTTCAACGTCACGAGCTCACCTGTGAAGTCTTGGCGGTCCTGAGTCGCGCCCAAACACCACTTCTGGGACTCCTAACGCAGCGAATCAACATAACCGCTGCGCCCTGACAATCATGGATTGGTCCAACACATTTTTCCTGCATCAGCCATGAGAAGTAATGAGTCTGTTGTAAGGTTTTAGAACGAGCGTGCGCGGCGCTGCAGAAAGAGCCGCATTATGAAAACGACTCGCCCTCAACCCGTGAAGCTCTTGCAATTGATTAAGACGATTGTGCGTGGCCTTACGGCGAGAGGCGCATCTTGAAAATGAACGCCGTCAACCCGTGAAGCTCTTGCATTTTTTTAAGACGAATGTGCGCGTCGCTACAGCGAGAGCCGCATTTTGAAACCAACCCGCCCTCAATCCGTGAAGCTCTTCGACATGTTTAAGACGAGTGTGCGCGGTGCAAAGGCGAGAGCCGCATTTGGAAAACGACCCGCCCTCAAGAAAATGGAATGGAGGACCAGGAGAAGGAGGGGGAGGAGAAGGACGAGGAGGAGGAGGAGGAGGAGGAGGTGGAGGAGGAGGAGGAGGAGGAAATGCTGCTGCTTATGATGATGAGGATTATCATGATGATGACACTGATGATGGTGGTACTGATAATGATGACGATCGTGATGCTGGTGGTGATGATGATGATGAGGATGATAATGCGGAGGATGAGGAGGAGGTCTAGATGGGAGGAGGACGGGGAGCATGGGGATGATAAGGTGATGAATCTGCTGCTGATGACGACGACGACCACGATGATCATGATTATGATGATGCTGATGATGATGCTGCTGATGATGATGATGATGGTGGTGGTGGTGATGATGGTGGTTAAGGGGGACAAGGGAGGGAGGATAGAAGGATGAGGGGTAGGGGGAGGTCGAGGTGGGAGGATTTCGAGGATGAGCAGGAGGAGTAGGAGGATTAGGAGGCTCAGGAGCAGGCGGAGGATGAGGAGAGGATGATGGCGGGGGAGAAGGAGGAAGAGGCAGAGGGGGATGAGGCCGCGGCGTTGGAGGTTGCGGATGAGTAGTAGGACGCGGTGGACGATGAGGCGATG